GGGTTTATGTGCAGTTGTAATAAAGTATATTTATTCGATATTTCATTATTAATGACTCTGGGATGGATCAGAATCATTTAAAGCATTATGCTGCTGCTGAACCTTCAATTTTTTCTGCTGTTTCTGAAGTGACAAACCGCAGGCATTGCAAAGTCTAGAATTATATGTTAATATTTGTTGAGAAAAAGAAATTAGATCTACTAACGTCTTTGGTCCTTTGGGGCCTCTCCTCCACTCTGGCGAAGATCGTATTCCACATTGATGGCAGAATAAATCGAGCGGTTGTTTTTTCTATTAGAAGATTACATTAATTCGAATAAATGTATTTAAACTTGCATTTTAAATAATACATACTTTTTTTGAGTTTCTTGAACGAGAAGATTCAACTCTTGGTTTAGTCAGCACAGCAGAAGTTTGTGATGGGAGTAAATCATCAGGTTTAGAAGGTTCAGCCCCGGCCAAATTTCCCGCAGGCATCATCATCTGTTGTGGATCTAATTCCTGTTTCGCATTCATAATAGAATTCAACTCATTTTTCATAATACTATTCTGCACAACATACTGCAAAATCGTATCAATCGATGAAGATTTTTTCTCGCCAGATCTACAGTCCCTAGCAGACAATAAAAACGACTCCAACTTGCGCAGCCCTTCCGAACTGTTACTAGAAAATATCGGGCGTCCACTAACTTCCATCACACAAACCCCACCTTGTTGGCGCTTATATCTCAAGTACAAGATAAAACTTTCGTCCTCGGAACACCCGATTCTGTTAATATTCTCCACCAATAACATGCGATCATTACTGTCTAGTAATTCCGACACATTACTACCAATCAGGTCGGCCGGCTGGTATCCCAGGATCGAAGTCACGCTGGGCGAGCAGTACTGAAGTATGCCTTTTGGTGAGAATACGTGCACAAAGTCGGCGAGGGTCGAAAGGATTCGCTCACTTGATTTGAAGTTGGAGACTAATGCGCTGGTGTGCCGAGTCAGTGCGGATTTTGTGGAGCGAGATTCTGAGTGGGTCGGGCTAGAAAATTCTTGGGAATCAGGAGTCGAATTTTGGGGGGAAACTTTGGGGATTTGAGATGTGTTTGGCAGCTGCTGGATATATTTTTGAGATGGCTCGAGGTTCGCCCTTGAAAAGGTGCTGAAGATTGGGTTGGGAGGACTGTTTGACAGCAAGTTTCTGGAGCTTGAATCATTCAGAACAGCGCCGGGGTTGAAAATATCCCAGTTGAAAGTGTCAGTGATGGGTATGAAGGGCTGATCTGAAAGCGGATTCAGCGGATTCAGCGGATCCAGATCTGGCAAAGTGAGGTTTGGCAAAGCGAAATCGGGCTTTGCATTCGGACGAGTGTGGTTTTGCTGTGAGAATGGCAACATTTTCTCAGCTTTCCGGGAAGGTGGTACACACGTGACACAAGAATCTCTGGTTTCTGTTTCTTGGCCTCTTTATATATCAAAATCTACACTAATAGAACATCCAAAAACAACCAATCCGCCCCAAACAATGTCTTGAATATCCTTCAGTAGTATTTTAAAAGTATAAGAAAAAACACAACGAGCAGCGGGAGAAAAGCCAATTGGCATAACTACGGAAGTAAGTCCACAACTAGGATTCGAACCTAGACCTGCTTTTTGGTGTAAAGCTGCTCACCTGATTGAGCTATTGTGGAAAAGAAAAGTCCATAGTCATGAATTGAACATTTCTTCTGTCGTCACATTCAAATAGAAGAAATTAAAAGGTGTGAAGAAGAGAGATGGCAACAACAAGACACAGGCTTTTTTACCTCGCAATCCCCATACTTTGTGGATTTTAAAGCGCCAAGTCCGAAAGATCAAAAGACCTCTTTTTTATAGCTAGTCAAAAAAGAAGCATAACTAATAAAACAGAGCTCAACGAGAGCAGATAAAAAACCCCCCAAACAAACAAAAATAAATCCAACAACAAAAAAAAAAAAATTTACAGCTTGACAAGCTTGACAAGAATGTGAAACATAATGGGACAGCAATTGACATCTGATGACAAATTAGACAATTTTGACCAAAATGAGGACAATCATACACTAAAAAACCCCTTGCAAACCCAACATCCCTCCACATGCTTCCTCCTTTCCCTCCCAGATGTCCCAGCTAGACTCATCCTGAACTATCTGGATCCGCTGTCTCTTGTCCGGCTCTCTAAAACCAACTCATTCTGGCCTGCACTGGTCAACGATGAATACCGCTGGGAATCACTGTGTATGCGCGACTTCCCGTGGTTTTTCTGGGATGGCAAGTGCCAGGTTGTTGCGGCTTATTCTCCCCCTGACCCGCCACCTTTTGACACAATCATAGAAAATCCGGTGCCACACAAGTTCCACCAAATCCCGGTGTTTGATCCGCACAATGACCCTGCATTTAAGAAATGTACTGCACGACACATAAGACGAATGGGTCATCCGTATGCTCCGCTGCCGCATCTGTTTCGATTGGCGTATTGGTGCATCTATTCGGGAAAGTATGCTGGTTTCTTGCAGATTTTGAGCAGACAAAATTATGACATGTGCGCATGCTGGGGGGTGGCGAAATATGACCATATTTCAAATTCTATCAGTGTTAACTTTGATAATTTTCATGAGTTCGTTAAGCTGGGTATGGAATCGTCTGGTCTATTGGAGAATTGGTTGAGTTCCATTGAGATGTTTTCGAATTTTCTAGTTCAGGCTACTTATAATTTGAATTCAGACGGGCACCTTTTAAAGAGGATCCCTGATGATGTCATCACTTCTGTTACCGAAAAATTAAGTATGCCGAATTATGTTATTGATGTCAATCGCTGGCCAAACAAATCTGCCCCTTTTGAAATTGGAGAAGAGGTTGAAATTCAGTGGGGACATACCAATGCTCTGAGTACAAAATTTCAGTGGTGGCGGGGTTATGTTCGAAGTATTATTGACGAAGGTATTCTTCATGATGATGAACAAGCAACCGAATTAGATCCTGATGGTGTACTTGTTGAAGTTGAGCAAAAAAAACACATCGTTGTTGCTTTTAATCAATTCCCGAGGGAAAATGACTGGTATTCTGTTCCAGTTTCAATAAATGGATTGATTAGAAGGAACTATGGCGCTGGTCATGTGGGCGGGATCAGGAGAATTAAATGTGGGGCGGAAAAGAGACTTTGGAGATTACATTTAACATTTAGACATGGTTGGGGGAGTGACTCTTTTGAAAATTTTGATTATTATCCATGAGAACTTTGTAGATTATTTGCTGCAATACATACCAGTAAACTACATTTACGTAAGAATCTGGTTTCTATTTATCAAATAATTCAGACAATTGTATGTCTGAGCCTGTGATCATGAGAATCAGAGAATCGACCAATCAATCG